TGTATGATCTTTGGTACTGTAAAAATGTTTGTTATTCCTCTACTTCATCTATTTGTAATTGTAATGAGAAGTCAGATGAATCTATTATTACCTGGATGCAACTGTATGTGACCTAATAATCAAATTTGTTTATTTAATATTAGATAAAATAAACATCTTTATTTGCAAGGCATTCTGAAAGGCCCAGTGGAATCAAAGATCAATAATGTAAAGTATATTCTCTATAGGGCCTCTGTTCTAAGAATGGAAACTTGGCATAGAAATCTCCCAGTAATTATGCATCCTACAAGCATCTAATTGAGAACCTACTCTAAGCAAGATATTTCTAACAAAAAAGACATCATGGTGTCTCACCTTAAGGAACTTCCAGACAGAGAACAGAAAGGAATGCTTCTGAATTCATTTACACTCATGAACACCTTGCAGTTCCAGAGAGTTCTTTCTGATTGTGCACATACACTTAGTAGGTGTGAATAATATACTAACGCAGGTTTTCAATTTTCTCTAGTGCCTCTGTCAGAGCAAGCAGAGTCTTAAAATCATCCTGTTATCGAACCTTTAGCAGCTGTTTTATGAATCTCTGAATTAACAACGAAATGAGTGGAGAGTAAGAACTGGTATCCTAAGTCATATGAAAAACAAATATAATTTTGGATAGTCATCAAAAATCTAGGTATCTTCATACATCACATCAAACACACTTTTCTATTTAGCTGCTAATGTAAAAGGAGAAGGAATAACGTTAGCATTCCACAATGAATGTGCAGAGATAAAGCACAGAGCAACAAATTCTTCAGTGACATTAATAAGGTATTTGGTACACTAAGTCTAAACAAAGTTTGTATGAAAAGGAATATTTATAGTAACTTTCTGCTATCTGGCTCAAATGTAATTAACTGACTATATAAAAAGCCATTAGCATTCTCATCTCTCCTCTCCAAACTAAACCAAAACAGATAACATAATTCATTAGCCAGGATTAAAGAGAGGAAAGAAAAGATCATGATGTTCCCTTGGTATTAGTACAGAAATTTCCCACACTTCCAATATTAAGAAAAGAAAACCAGTTAGAAGAGTTATGCTGGGATGTAAAAAATATTAAATGTCCAAATGAAATAATCAAGTAAAATATTGTCCATGCTTGAAAGCAAAAGCCACATGATTCGGTTTTAGTGTGATACTTTATAATTTTGATTTTTCAATGTTACCCTTTTAAAAGGAGGTTTGTGAACATCCTCTCCAAAACACAACCCAATCTGCCATTTAACCATGCTGTCAAAATCCAGCATCCGCCCAGATCCCAGAAGCATGGTCCAAATAAAGTTTAAGTTACATACACATAAATTAAATAAAAGACATTACAGTGTCCTTCTCTTTCATTAAATACAAGAGAGAACATATTTAAACAAAAGTCATATTTTAAAATAATATATTAGATAATTTTCTAGAAAACAGTATGATATTTAATTGACCTTCCTTATTAATTTTTATACTTATCAGTTTAAGTTTGCGTAATTATTTTTATATGCATTTCTATTTTACCATATTTATTGTAATAAGTACTCTTTACATTCCTGGAACTTTTTCCAGTTTGTTTGACACGTGATTCTTGAATGATTCTTTAGCCACCAACATTTCTTTCTACTCTTTTATTTTCTTTCTCTAAACAGCCATTGAAAGAGAAAAATTCACCATTTACTACTCTTAGCTTACTTTTGTTCTATCCTCCCTAGCCAAAAAAAAAAAAAAAAAAAAAAAAAGAAAGAAAGAAAAAGAAAAAGGAGGAGGAGGAAGAAGAAGGAGGAGAAGGAGGAGAAGAACCTGGTAATATAAAGCATCTTAATGCAGAAAATCTTAATTTCTCATCACTCACCTCTTCCTATACCAACATATCAACAATAGCTTATCTTTTAGAAGTTTTAAAATTAATGTTAACTTAAGTTCCGTTTCATAAATCAGCTTTAAAAAAATCTATGTTCATTCAGAGGTAGAGATAAAAAGCATTTTAGAACACACACACACATACACACACTCACAGACATGCACTCACACATTTTTGGACTATGAACCAAATTAAGCAGTGATAGTGTTCATTATTCTCTTTCTAGTGTTAAATACAGTATTTGACACCTATCAGGGCTCAAGAAATGTTAAATGTTTAAAGAAATAGTCCAAGGATACTATTGATTACTTTGTCTTGTTTCAGGAAAAATGAACTTTAGTGAAAGTAAACATTATATACTAGAGCTTTTGTTCATACTTCTGAAATTGATGAATATGTTTTTTGAATATGAAACATTTTAATTATGATGTATTTCCCTATCAAATGGAGGGTGACACATTTTCAGCTTTCAAGTCAATGAACTCTAACTGTGCCTATTATTTGTCTAGAATGGAATATAAATATTTTAATATTTCATTACTAAAATCAGAAAATGACCCGTTAATGAAGTTTAGATCCTTTTGAAGGCTTCCCTGTGGCACAAACTCAGTAGATAGTACTCTAATAGGATGCTTATGCATTTAGAAATTTTAAGATAATGATTCCATAAACAAGTTATCAATCTCATCTTTTGGAATGTGCAAGCTGTGTAAGGTAGCTAGTCCTTTCTTGACACCCGAAATGTTTCTAAGAAAAATGACAATAAAAGAGTCCAAAACTCTCAACACGAAGGCTTCCTATTATTAATTAACATTTCCTATTATTTATTGTAGAATATTCAAACTTAATATCTTCTTACCCTTCATTGCTAAAGTACATTGTACCCCTGGCAGAAGACTTATTGATATGTCTCATATTAAAATCATTCATTTATTTATCTGTCTTTCATGCTAGATAGTGAGGTCCCACAAGGTAAAGACCATAACTTATTCACTTATATTTCCCCTGTGTCTGGCACATTATTACTTTGTACTAATAGATGGTCAAAAACACTTACAGAATTAAATTTGCATACCTAAGATGCTTGACAAATCATATATTCAGTTTTTATTAGATGCCACCCATGGTAAGCTTAGTTAAAATATGGTCCTTTGGCTACTAATTTTTCTTTCTTAAAAATCTAGAAATGAAAAAGTTGGGAATAAACTGATTCGTATAATTCTTATATTTCTAGATCCTTAGCTACTTGGAGCTCACTTCTTGTGGCTGTACTCATCCTTCAAAATATAGTGCCATAACTCCAGCGGAATTTGTGTCCTTGTGGGGTTTCCTAGTCTCTGTTACCCTTCCACTGAATCACAGGGAAGCAGCATGAGCTGATGTGAAGACTCCAGGCTTTGGAGACAGACTGCCTGGTTTCAGATCACAATTCCAGTACTAACTCACCGAGAGATCTGAGGCAAGCTATTTGACCTATCAAAGCTTTGTTCTCCATATTTTTAAAATAGAGAGAGTAGTAGTATGTACTTCACAGGTTATTCTGAGGAATAAATGAGATAGTTCATGAGCATTACTTAGCAAATCAGCACAGTGTATGGCATTTAGTAAGTGGCTACTTAAAGAATGTTAACAAAAACATTTGAATTCTTACTATAGTTCTTACAATGAAGTAGGTATGGATTAAATATCTCTTAAGTGGGCAACTTTTTAATTCCTTCTGAGGTAAGCTTTCATGATTTTATTTAAAACAAATCTCACAAATACAATATAACATAAATTCCTTAATGATAAAATACAATTTGAAGTGGAATATAAAGGTAATTATAACTTTTCTTCACTAATGCATATAAGCAAATCATAGCTAGCATGTTGTTTTAGTTTTATAACTTTCAAAACTGTTTTTTGAACAGTATTGTGATGGTGTTTTCCAAGGATCTAAAAAGCATGAGGCACGAAGCTAGAATGAACCATTTACTCTCATTTAAAATGTCTTTTTTTTTTTTCTGTAAACCATGTCTATAGTAAAAAGCAAAATACTATGTCCTGTTCAGTTTTAAAGAGTATGATTAATATGCAATGTAGGCTCATTCGTTCTTTGTACATTTTAGAAAAGTGACTGATTATGAGACCAGGAGTAAAACACCAGACTTGGCAGGGTGTAACAGCAAGTAAAGGCATTAAAACAGACAAAATTTCAAAGACAACGTACTTAACTTCTCCTATATATTTATTCATTTAAAATTTAAATAACAATTTTAGTGTATTCTTCAGCATAAAACCTTGCCTAATGCTAAGTAAATTTTGGGATTAGGTGAAATTATGATATGATAGAGCACAGATGACATACATAATTTTATATAAAATGATCTTTTATTCGATTCTACTTGAATTACAAGGTGATTTTTAAATAAATATTAACTTTATGAAAGAGTTCTGGTTCTGTGATACTATATTAATATCAAATATGTGTTTAAACCTAAAGGATGATAAAAATAATCTTTTGAGAACTAAAAAGAGCCAAATTGTGGTGCAAAATACACTTAAAATTGTACCTGCATATGTTAAACACTGAGGAATCAGCTCTGGATTTTTAAATAAAATAATTTTCTAAAAGCACTAATCTTTTGTAAGTAAACATGTATTTGATACCCAGATGTCAGTGAAGAAAAAACTGTACCTTATAGCAATGAAGTAAATATTTCTATGAGATAGATGAGTAACAGCATACATAACCATCACAGTATCTAATTCTGTTAGAATTAGATCAGCAGCATGCTAAAGATTTCTCAACTTTCTACATAAAAGAGATAGAATGCTTTTCTTTCAGTCAGTCCAGAATTACTTTAGTTATTAAACAGCAGAAAAACTTAAATATAGCACATATAACACCTCTTGTAGGTGCAGTCAGCACTGCATAATCATATATTAATATTTCTACAGCAAAGCATGAAATGACCACATCAAGTAGAAATGAATTTAGTCCATAAATAGACTATGTTCAGATTGAGGCACGTTTTCCTGCCAAGTGAGTTGAGACTGAGCGCATTTCATTTAATGACACTTCGATAAACTCGCAGGTAAGAAATATCACTGAAAGAAATATAGAGACAGCTCTTACCTTGGCACACAAAACCTCTTTCTTCATAGCCAGCATTGCAGGAACACTTGCCAATGGGTACAAGCCATTCGCCTTCTGTACTGCAGTACATCCTTGGAGGATCTTCCTCCTTGGAATTGTTGACACAAGACCCTCTAACCTCCACCAGGGACTGGGAGTCCATGGGTACCGTGTCTGGAAACATAGCCAGATTCTTCACTGTAAATGGGCACTTTTTGAAGTATACTCTCACAGACACCAAGGCAACACAAGCACCAACATCTTGAAAAGCCAAATAAAATCCCTTCTTGTTAACAGGACCTACTTCTCGAATCTCAGTGTTGAGTTTAAGAATACGATCCCCAAGATCCATTTGAGTGAAACTTTCATCAGCTGCAATGGTGTCGATCTTTGTGAACTGGTGCTCTCGGAATTTCACGCCATGATCATCATCAGACTCCATGTAGTACAGGTTGAACGTCTCCTTGCAAGTTCCTAAAACCAATGGAATGCTATTGCAGTCTCGTAGAGTGAACTTGAGCTCCACGTAAATCTTCTGAGCTGAGTTCCTGGGGACCCAGTTTGTTCTCAGCCAATTGTTTTGACTATGATCCATGACATTGCACACCTGGTAAGTCCTGATGGGAGTGTAATGTTCATCCACACCACTGATCTCTTCCCACTGAAGAATCAAAGAGAAACAGAGAGTGAGGCAGAATTAATGATCATGATGAATTCAAGATAAGGGTGTCAGAGGCATCACTATATAATAAATCATCATATGGTCATTCAAAACATTCTTGTTTGTAGTTTTTATTTGTAAGGTTCTCTGAGTTAATGGACACAAAGTAATTTATAATTTTGATGAACACATTTCAATTGCATTGCCATTTGTGAGATATTCAGGAAACAGTCACTTAGTTAATAGAGCCTAATCAAAGCTTCCAGGATCAAAACCTCACATCACTTGTCTCCAATGACACAGTGATATGATTTTCTTGTGTTTTTTGTTTATTTTTCTTTGTTTAAAAGAAGAATTAAAAAAATACTACTGCCTAAAATTCATGCTTACTAATCTTTTTCCAATTTGTGCCAGGTTTTTGGTAAAACTGATATAAGGCAAAATAAGTGAATATAAATGATATTGTTGCTATGTATTATTACGCATGACATTTTTTAATGTACTGTCGTTTCAATGGACATGGTTTGGAGAACTATGCAATAAAATTTGAAGTAAAAATATAAACGTGCCTCACCCCTCAGCACCCCCAAATATAAAACCAAGTCATGGGTGAAAAACAGAAGACAGCGAACATTCGATTTTTAAAGTCTTTTACACCACATAGGACTTTTTCCCAGTCAAGAAATAGATCAGGCCGGGTGTGGTGGCTCATGCCTGTAATCCCAGTACTTTGGGAGGTTGAGGTGGGTCGATCATGAGGTCAAGAGATCGAGACCATCCTGGTCAACATGGTGAAACCCCGTCTCTACTAAAAATGCAAAAATTAGCTGGGCATGGTGGTGCGTGCCTGTAATCCCAGCTACTCAGGAGGCTGAGGCAGGAGAATTGCTTGAACCCAGGAGGCGGAGGTTGAGGTGAGCTGAGATCGCACCATTGCACTCCAGCCTGGTTAACGAGAGCGAAACTCCGTCTCAAAAAAAAAAGAAAAAAGAAAAGAAAAGAAACAAAGAAAAAGAAATAGATCAATATTTGGGGTTTTGTTGTTATAATAGTTAAGGGTATCTTAATACAACTTTTCTCACTGTAAAAAGCCTTTTAAAGTATTAAGGGTTTTTAAGAACAGTGAAGCACTATCCTCTGTGATCCTCAAGACAAATTTTAAAAAGCTTTTAACTGCGTGCGTTGTATTACTTATGATCAATTACAATTAGACCAGTTGTTTCTGTTATCCCTATCCCTGTATCCACACTTTCTTCTTATCATGCCCAATTTTGCTTAACTACTTCCAGGAAAATACATTTTTTGTCATTCTTGAATTTAAAGTCTCCTAGGGCTCTCTGTTACTTATGCAAAAACTTCGAAACTCTTGAGTTTTGCATTTGTTTTCCTCTTAAAACTGGTCCTAAATCACACGTTAACTTTTCTAAGTGTTTGCAACACGACAAGTAATGTTTCACTTAGGCATATACTGTATTATTGTCAATATAAACTCTTTCATTGTTTTCAAAGATGTGTTGGGTTTTCTATCCTGTATTCCTTTCTTGCGGAATATAGCTATCTTACGGTATAGCCCCAACATAGGATTGTGCATTCTTCTGCCTTATGCCTACCATAATCCTGACAATCTTAAGAAAATTTCTGTATTATTAACTCTTATTGAATGCTCTATTCATTTGTAAATTTAATTCATTATACATACTAAAGTTAGTTTAATTTTGTTTCACAGGCATTTGCTAAACTTTAGGCAGGTCTCTTCATATCCTCCATAGTAGAGCACAAAATTCCACCTTTTGGGATATGCACAAAGATTATTTTTATTATAATATATGTAAGAGTAATTTACAGGAATCAAACACTTAAAATGTTTTCCTTACAGAAAATATTTAAATATTGTAGCTAAATATATGAAATAAAATCCTTGTGAAGTACATTATAAATGTGTTCCTACATTTTTCTCCAATAAAGGAGTTAATTATTTTCATCAGGAACAATAAATATTAAATACTCATAATGAACTCAACAGCATTTAAATGTATTAATACTTTTTTCTCTTTCTATTGACACTATGATATGATTTGCATGTATGTTTTTTGTTTGTTTGTTTAAAAAAATAAACAAAATGACTGCCTACAATTCATCTGTATGAATATTTTCCCAATTTGGGCCGTATGCAGGTTTGTTACATAAGCACATGGCATGAGGTTCAGGTTCGAGGAGACTGACGCCTTCACTCAGGTTGTGGCGACAGGTTTTCCATGCTTGCTGCCTCCCTGTTTCCCCTTGCATGATCCCTAAGGTTTATTGCTGCCATCTTTACAGTCACAGAAATGTTAATTCACACCTTCTAATCACAAAATAAAATAAAATATTAATGTATTCAATTGTTAGTAATTACAAGCAAAGAAACATGACTTTATTTGGTCTTTAAGCCCGCTTAAACTATCAAAAACAATTTATGGACTTTACTGGTGTGACAATCACAGTTTAAAGACTTCTAGTTCCTTACAGCACACCTACTAACTTACAAAGGAAACAAGTAAAAAACACTACTTATTTTTAAAAACCTTGATCATTCACTATCTAAAATACAAGATAGGCACTCATTTTCTGGAGAAAAAAATTGACCTAACTTCATTGTCACATCCGAGATTCAACAAAGAATCAAATTGAGACTATTTTAGAAAATCTCAGAAGTAATATACAAGATGCATTCTAATATTAGCAGAAGGAAAGAAAATATTCACATTGTATTTTTAATAATTTCCAATGTGCCATTTGTAAGTGTTCACTCCATTTGTATGGTATATACTGAGTTTTTAAGGAGATAAGAGTACATAAGAGTCTCAGTTTTTAGGGTTTTACATTGAGGTGCCTATAATAATACAGTCACATTCAAAGCAAAATTAATGTGTCTGTTTGATATATGTAAAAAAAAAAAAAAAACAGTCAACAGAGTTGGGGCTCCAAAAATCTCTGGTGTTAAAAGTTCATGTTTTGTAGAGTCTTCTCTAGTTCATTACCTTGGTTCTACAACGGCATTTTAAAGTAGAGATGTAGCAAAAACTCTAGAGAAAAAAATGCTTTCTGTAACCATCTTACAGAAATTCTGTTCGATCATTACAATATTTTTTGAATATGAAACAATTGATTTTAAATTTCTTAAGTCAAGTTTTTCTTTTAAGAATAAATGAGATTGTTTCTTTGATGAATCATTTGCAAATTTATTCTGCAATGAACAGCATTTCACTCAACATCAAACAGAACATATTATGTAGAGATTTTCATAATTTGATGTAAAATATGATTTTAATTATGGAGACCTCAGTGCAGTTTAACATTTGGCAAGCTACTACAAGTCCTTGAACACAGAGGTATACATTGCAAGAAGATAATGCAAACAGCACCAGCATTCTTTGCACATGAAAGGTTGCAAAGAGCAATTATCACTTCATTAATTTGTAATGAAGGCAAATTGGTTGTAAGGGATGGTGACTTGCCATCTCAGACCACTTGTGAAAACAAGTCTGTAATGCCAGCATTTGCTGAGGACTGAAGACAGTAGAAATAAAATCCTTAAATGTGTATTTTCTCATAGCAGCAGCCACAAGAAAAAAATAAATTATTAAAACTGTTGTTATAATGCTCATGTTTCACCTATCTTTCTAATGTAAGAACTAATGTATAATGTGCATGATACATTATCATTATATATCATCAGAGATTCTATTCTTCTATAGTAATTGTCTCAAGGCAGAGATGAAAAAACACATGAGAGACTTAGCATTGGTAACTTAGAATTTGGTGGTGACAGCATCTGTCTCTTCATGCTCCTAATTTTTACAGGTGATCTCTGTGATTGGTATCCATCGAGAACAGCTTCAGCGAAAGGGGATACAAACTAAAGAGGAGCTAAAAATACCTTTTCAAGCTCTAACTATTTACTTTTTAAAAACTGGTTTATTATACTTTAAGTTCTGGGCTACATGTGCAGATTGTGCAGGTTTGTTACATGGGTATACACATGTCCTGGTGGTGGTTTGCTACATCCATCACCCCATTGTCTACGTTAGGTACTTCTCCTAATGATATCCCTCCCCAATCTCCCTATCACCTGCTATGCCTCCCCTATGCCCCTAGACCCCCAATAGGCCCCAGTGTGTTGTGCTCCCTCCCTGTGTCCATGTTTTCTCATTGCTCAACATCCACTTATGAATGAGAGCATGCTGTGTTTGATTTTCTGTTCTTGTGTCAGTTTGCTGAGAATGAAGGTTTCCAGCCTCATCCATGTCCCTGCAAGGACAGGAACTCATCTTTTTTTTTTTTTTTTTTTTTGGCTGCATAATATTCCATGGTGTATCTGTGCCACATTTGCCTTATCCAGTCTATCACTGATGGGCATTTGGGTTGGTTCCAAGTCTGCTATTGTAAACAGTGCCACAATAAACATATGTGTGCATGTGTCTTTATAAAGAATGATTTATAATCCTTTGGCTATATACCCAGTAATGGGATTGCTAGGTCAAATGATATTTTTATTTCTATATCCTTGAGGAATTGTCACCCTGTCTTCCACAATGGTTGAACTAATTTACACTCCCACCAACAGTGTAAACGTGTTCCTATTTCTCCAAATCCTCTCCAGCGTTTGTTGTCTCCAGATGTTTTAATGATTGCCATTCTAACTGGTGTGAGGTGGTATCTCAGTGTGGTTTTGATTTGCATTTCTCTAATGACCAGTGATGATGAGCATTTTTTCATATTTGTTGCCTGCATAAATGTCTTCTTTTGAAAGTTGTCTTTTCATAACCTTTGCCCACTTTTTGATGGGGTCGTGTGTGTTTTTCTTGTAAATTTGTTTTAATTCTTTGTAGATTCTGGATATTAGCCCTTTGTCAGATGGGTAGTTTGTAAAAAAATTTTCCCATTCTTTTTGTATCTGGTTCACTCTATAGATAGTTTCTTTTGCTGTGCAGAAGCTCTTAAGTTTAATTAGATCTTAT